TGCTGAATGTTTTTGCCAAACAGATACTGGTGGAAATAGGATTCATGAAAATCATGATTCTGTTTATTACACCTATGAAGATTATGCCAGTAGCATTTCATGTGAAGTACTAGGCTCAGTTCTTCATACCCAGCATACTAATGCAGTGCCAGATAGTAATAGCAGTAACAGGGGAGAAAATAAAACCATAGTACTTAAGCATGGAAATCTTTATCAAAAAGGAGAATCTAAAAATAAATCCTTAATGATTAAAGATAGCATTCAGAGATTTGCTGCAGATCTTGTGGAAAAAAGTTTTGGCAGTGCATTTAAAGACTTGCAGAAAGGAGTCTCTTCATGTACTAATGCGTTGTGCCACTTAGCCATCAAATTGACATCATCTGTTTTTCAGTTGGCATTTAATGAACTGAGGAGTCAGTGTGCGTTTTCACTGAAGCAACGAGCCATTAGTGGCCTGGCAAATTTTTTGGTGAGTGAAGCTTTTGCAAATGCCTTAAAAGATTTACAGTATGTAAAGAAACAGATATTTACAAACACAGTTGCTAGGTTTGCTGCAGATCTTGCTGAAGAGCTTGTTTTTGAGGGCATCATGGAAGTATGTCAGTTTTCATATCCTCCAACACCTGCATCTCCACAGGGTTGCTTGTTTGACTTTGAAGACAAAGTAGTGAAGTCATATGCAAAAGATTTGTCTGAATCTGTAATACAGGAAGCATTCATAGAGCTATCACAAGTTAACGTGACCTTCACAACAAAGGCAGCAGTTAGTGTTTCTCCGGATAACATTAAGTATGTCAGTGCAGAAAGTGTAGTGCCATCAACACAGACCTTCACGTTTTCTCCTTTTAACAATCAAGCAATTATGGTGACAAAACCAGTGCGGGACCATAAAAAAGAATTCACGGTGCAGCAGGCCTTGTTTTGTACTTCTGGCATTGTTACTTCTATACCAGTGCCCTTGGCAGGAAGTGCCCTTCTCCCATATCATATCTCACCTACTGTATATCAGGCAGAGTCTCCTCTGTCACCTGATGGTAGTAATTCCAATGGTGATTCTACCCAAGTGCATGTTACCATGAAAAACGAAGAAGAGGAAGAGGTAGCTTGTCTCAGAAATAGTTCTTTACCTTCAGAACACAGTCCAAGTAACCAGAATAATTTAAAACCAACTATTGATGATATTGAAATGCGAAGATCTTCAAAATTAACAAGCAATCCTGTAATTATTAGCAATTTTTCTGCAGCAATGGTGAATACAATAGTAAATGAAACTTTAGAGTCAGTGACATCATTTGAAGTTACAAAAATAGTTGATGAAGATAAGGATTATTTAACTAAAACAAAAAAGAGAAAAACCTCTCCTATTGTATCTCACTGCGATCGAGCTACGCTGCATCAGAGCGAGCCTAGCAGTAAGGACATGTTTGCTGACCGGTTATCTAAATCTGTTATTAAACATTCCATAGATAAGAGCAAATCAGCAATCCCAAATGTACATAGAAATGCAATGTACAAGGAAGGCTTTCCTGTTCCTGGAGAAGAATCACAGTTGACCATGGAAAAGTTCCCCAGATTTCTTGACTCTCAAAATCACTTGACTCACTATTCTGTTTTGGATGGGAAGGATTGTGTTTCAGAATGTAAAAGTTCTGTGGCTCATGGATTTTCTTCAGAGACACTACCACCTCCAACTGCAACAAATCAGAAACCTTATTTGAAAGAACTTACTAAAGACAAATCAGTGAAAAAGCATCCTTTGACTAATACAACACTTGAGTCTTTATCTTTTGGACAGGAAAGTGCCATTCCTCAGTCACATACTTTGTCATCTGCAGTGCTTACCTGCGTTGATGGTTTGCATGTAGAAGATAAACAGAAAATCAGAGACAGAAATGTAATACCTGATACTCCTCCATCAACTCCTCTAGTGCCATCCCAGACTAGTTCTGAATGGGATATCAAGAAGTTAACCAAAAAGCTGAAGGGGGAATTAGCCAAAGAATTTTTACCTGCTACACCACCTTCTACACCTCACAACTCATCTGTTGGTGGTTTGTCTGAAAGTGAACAAAATACTATAGAAAAGGAAGAGTTCATGTTGAAACTCATGCGCTCTCTTTCAGAAGAAGTCGAAAGTAGTGAAAATGAAGAGCATTCAGAAATAGAGATGAACTTGGAGCACTCAAGGAGGAAAGTTCAGTTTGCAGAAACGTTAGCTACGCATATCATTTCTCTTGCAACTGAGATGGCAGCTTCCCATTTAGATAATAAAATAGTTCAAGAACCTAAGGTTGAAAGCCCTCACTCAAATGTGCAAAGTCAAAGAAGTGTATCACCTTTTTTAAATGACTCAGGTGAATATTTACAAACCTTGTGCAGTTTTGCAAGTGATATGGCAGCAGAAGTCATTACAGAAGCCGAGAAAATAGCGAAAGTTAAAAGTGGTGTGCTTTTCAGGCAAAGGAAGAGCATTTGTTATGTTGATGGTGACCAAGAGTATACGTCAGAAGAGAATTTGGATATAGAGACTGTAGCACACCCAAGAGAAGTTGACCCATTTCTTCTTTCATTACCAAGTTCTTGCTTGTCAGGTCTGACATATAAGTATCCCAGCTGTGAAAGTGTGACAGATGAATATGCAGGTCACGTTATCCAAATACTGAAACAGGAAGGTGGGAATAGCGAGCTAATAATGGATCAGTATGCCAATAGACTCGCTTATCGATCTGTTAAATCAGGATTACAAGAAGCAGCTAAGACAGCCAACATGAAGTACACCTCAAAAAAGTTTCCTGTGCAAAGCTCTCGGGTGAATGGAGACAAAGAACTGTTAATGTGCTCAAGTAAAGAGCACCAGAGAGATGTGGATAAAAAAAGACAAAGTAAAAGAAATGGAGATTACCTTTTTAACACTCAAACTTGCGAAAGGAAGCAGGATACATACAGAAATAAGTCCTCTGAACTATATAGTTTTTCAGCCTCTCTTGCTCACAGCATAACAAAAGATGTTAAAAAAGAGCTGACAGCATCTATGGTTGTCTTGCCAAAGTCCTTAACAGATTCTTGCCTTTATGAAAAATCTGGATGTGGTAAAGATGCTAAGTATCACATTGAACCAGAATTTCCCAAGTCTCTCCAGCCTTCTTCACAAAATCACAGGTTTTCCCACAGTACAGACAGCTTAACTGGATGTGGTTATGGAGGGAATGTTCAAACTATAGAAAATTTTGCTAAAAAAGTAGTGGATGACACTTTAGAGCTAAGTTTAGGATCTGCAGTTTTCCAAATGTCTGAGACCACAAAATCAGCAGATAGGATCACTTACGCAGAAAAGTTGTCACCTCTTATAAGTCAAACGTGCAAATATTGTGCCCTTAAAGAACTCCATGATTGCACCGGAAATTCATCTCAGCACTTTTTCAGACAAAGTTCACTTGCTAGTAATAAGCCAGTTTCTAATCCAAAATTTGGCAACATCTATCAGAAATCTAGAATTTTTCATCTTGATGTCCCTCAAATTCATGTTAATCTTGATAAGAAGTCAGTACTTGCTGAGAAGATAGTTGCTGAAGCTATTGAAAAAGCAGAGAGAGAGCTGAGCAATACCAGCTTGGCAGCTGATAGTGGAATTGGACAGGATGGTGTTAGCTTTGCTGAGAGCCTTACCACGGAAATAATGACATCAGCCATGACAAATGTTGGACATGCTGTTAGCAGGTGAGTTTCACATTTCTTTTAGGTGTTAAGATAAAATGAAAAATTAAACTCAATCATATGTGTCCGTTAGAAGGATATTATTTTTAAAATTTATTATTTTAATTTGATCAGAGAGAAAGGGAAAATGAGAAAGCAAGCCACCAGGTCTGGGACTCGAACTGTGGTCAACCACATGGGTAGTCTAGTGCCTTCACTACCGTGCCACCCGGCAGCCTCAGGGTATAATTGTTTTTTAACCTTAAATTAACAAAACTTGGGGCTACCATGTGGTGTAGTGGTTAAGGTGCTGGATTCCCACATGGTCGATTGCAGTTCAGGTCCTGGACCCCGTGGCTCAAAATCATGCCAGGTGCATGTGTGCATGTACCCAAAATCCCAAAATGATAAGGGAGGAAAGGGGATTGCAGCATGGCCATTCCCCTAGGGGATGATTTCTCGCTTTCCCTCTTTCTCTCCAGTGAGTGTACATACTCTATGGTAAAACTAAATTAACAAAACTTCCTTATGCATGTTGTATCATTTTATTTCCTACAATTAACTTTCATATATTTTGTCTTCTGATCATTTTTAGAGGAAGAAATTACCCATTTATGGAGTGGGAAAAAAATAGCTGGGGAATTTTATACAAATAGGGAATAATTACTACTCAGATTAAATTTTCATATAGTTATTCTTTTCCCTGTTCGCAAGGTAAGTTTTCTTATAAGAGCATGGTTTAATGAAACTGCCATGAGGAAGAAAGGGAAAATTCTCCAAGTGCTTCTTCAACCATTGTTACCACTTATCTTGAATGACTGATGGACTCATGGAACCGTTCTAATAGTCGCATAGTGTCCTATTCTTTATTAGGGCTTTCTGGTGTTCAGTAATTCTAACAATGTGGTTAATATTGTCACTTTTTTAAAAAAAATAATTATTTAATTTCATTTATTCATTCATTTTAATTTGACCAGAGAGAGAGAGAAAGAGAAAAAGAGAGAAAGTGAGAAAGTAAGCCACCAAGTCCTGTACTCAGACCGTGGTAGGCCATGTGGGAACGTCCAGCGCCTTAACCACCATGCCTCCTGCTGGTCCCAATATTGTCACTTTTGACTTTTCTCCCTGAGAAAGCATCAGGACCAATTTGTAGTATTAATTTATAGAATTATATTTGTAAGTCTCACTGGAAAGGTAAAATATTTTGAGTTGAGGTAAAATTTAATTGAGTGGCATAATACTTTAGATGTTTGAGTAGTGTTTGTCAAAGCAGTAACAAGGACTGCCTCTTTTCTTAGTCATCCTAAAGCAGGGAGATGCAGTTCTGCCAGGACTCTTGAATCAGTTGTTCTATAGCATCCTCTTGAGATGACATATACTCTAGGTTTCTGGTAAACTAGGAGAGGTCTTCATTTATTTTAATTAGGCTGTCTCCTTCTAGATCAAGGGTTGGCAAACAACAGTCTGTGCACCAGATGTGACCTGCTTCTTGTTTTTGAATGGACTGCATATTGATAATAGTTTTTACCCTTTTTTTTCTTGAGTTTCTTTCATGAATGGGAGAGAGTCAGCCCAGAGAGTGCCACAAGGAGACAGCACCCTCAATAAGAGCTCGACACAGTGATTTACCCCCAGCCTTATCTAGCCCTGGGTCAAGGGCATGCTTTTGTGCTGAGCATACTCAGGGAGGTCTCTGGACACGAACCAGAACCCTCCCATGCAGGTCAGCTTCGTACAGCACTGTGCCTTACAGCTGTGTCACCATTTTTACATTTTCCAGTGGTAGAAAAAAAAAATTAAAAAATATTTTATGATGTGAAAATTATGGGAAATTTACATTTCAGCGTTTGTAAATAATGTTTTATTGTACACAACCAAGCTCATTTATGTACATATTTTCTATAGCTGCCTTTTTTTTTTTTTGAGAGAGAGATTTTCGCTATAGGGCGCGTGCGCTCGCCAGACAGACAGAGAGAGACATAGAGACAGAAAGCGAGAAATCACCCCCCAGGGGGGATGGTCACGCCGCAATCCCTTCTCCTCCATTCTCCTCTCGGGATCATGGGCACGCACGCACATGCACCCGGCGTGAGTTCTAAGCCACCGGGTCCAGGACGCGAACCGCGGTCGACTACGTGGGAGTCCAGCGACATAGCCATTACACTAACTGCTGGTTCCCTATAGCTGCTTTTATGCTCTAACAGCTGAGTCAAATAGTTGCTGTCGAGACCAAACGGCCAGCAGTGCCCAAGTATTTGTTATCTGACTCTTCACAGAAAAAGTTTACGGACCTCTGACCTGTTCTCTTGGTTCATGACCACATACCAGATGGTAGATACAAGTGGTTAATAAATAATCAGATGAATAAATGGTAGTAAGCTTGGTACTTTCACCATTAAAATGAGTTTCTTCAGTAGCCTCAGGTGATTTTTAATTTTCCTTCCCCTTTAATCCCTCCCTCACATCCCAGCCTTGGAGGAGGAAAAGATTCAGCTAGATTAAAGTTTCAAAGGCCTAGCAAGTGCCTTTGCTATTCTTTAGTGTTTTCTCTTTTTCTTCTTAGAGCTTGAGAGTAGGCCCCATGGAGTTCTTCCTATAAGGCAGGGCCATACAATTCCATTTTTTTTTTAATTAAGGCCTGCAGAATATTACTTTGTAGTTTTTTTTCACATTTCTCTTGCTGCTGTGCTAGTGTTCTTTAGGTTGACTCTGGTGTGTACAGTTGGCTATTTTACATTTTCTATTTCTGTAGTTAAATGTCCTTCTGTCCAGCCATGGTGGTGCACCCTGCTAGGATGCAGTGTTCTGTAAGCAGGGAGGCCTGGGTTTGATTGTCAGTCAAACCTGAAGGCCAGGTGTGGTAGTGTACATCTGTAATGATGTATGGTGACTGGGGACGTGAAGGCAGGAGAATCACAGGCTTATTTCTGGCCTGGACAACACAGACCCTAGCTGAAAAAGAGAGTCAAGTACCGTGGCATCTGCTATAGACCCAGCTGGCAGCTTGAGGCAGGAGGATCACCACAGAAAGGGCCTGTCTTTAAAAAAAAAAGTCTTTAGGGGACAACTGGTGGCGTGGTGGTTAAGGAACTAGGTTCTCACATGGCTGATTATGGCTCAAGGTTCAAGTGCCAGACCTGGCAGCTTGAAAGTCTTGCCAGGTGTGTGTGTGTGTGTGTGTGTGTGTGTGTATGTGTGTGTGTGTGTGTGTGTGTTTGCTCAAAGTCCTGAGACTATAAGGCAGGGCCATACAATTCCATTTTTTTTTTTAATTAAGGCCTGCAGAATATTACTTTGTAGTTTTTTTTCACATTTCTCTTGCTGCTGTGCTAGTGTTCTTTAGGTTGACTCTGGTGTGTACAGTTGGCTATTTTACATTTTCTATTTCTGTAGTTAAATGTCCTTCTGTCCAGCCATGGTGGTGCACCCTGCTAGGATGCAGTGTTCTGTAAGCAGGGAGGCCTGGGTTTGATTGTCAGTCAAACCTGAAGGCCAGGTGTGGTAGTGTACATCTGTAATGATGTATGGTGACTGGGGACGTGAAGGCAGGAGAATCACAGGCTTATTTCTGGCCTGGACAACACAGACCCTAGCTGAAAAAGAGAGTCAAGTACCGTGGCATCTGCTATAGACCCAGCTGGCAGCTTGAGGCAGGAGGATCACCACAGAAAGGGCCTGTCTTTAAAAAAAAAAGTCTTTAGGGGACAACTGGTGGCGTGGTGGTTAAGGAACTAGGTTCTCACATGGCTGATTATGGCTCAAGGTTCAAGTGCCAGACCTGGCAGCTTGAAAGTCTTGCCAGGTGTGTGTGTGTGTGTGTGTGTGTGTGTGTATGTGTGTGTGTGTGTGTGTGTGTTTGCTCAAAGTCCTGAGAAGAAGATGGAGGAGGATTGCAGTATGGCCATCCAACCAGGGGGTGATTTCTCACTTCCTCCTCCCACCGGCAGGCACAGGTACTCTGTGGCAAAACCTCAAAAACCCAAAAAACACAAAACTTTTAAGCCTGAAGATTAAATAAATTTTTAAATGGAATTATTTGGATTATTACACTACTATCCTTTTTTTTTTTTTTTTTTTTTTTTTGGTAAATACTTGATTCATGCAAAGTATCCTGAATATTTCTCAAAACTACCGTTCAAAGGGGTGACACATGAATGTCAAATGGGCAGTTTTATGATAATACAGTTTTAGAAGAGAAAAAAAATTTCAGTTGCCTTCTGATCCATCATTTCTAAGCCAAAACAACCTATGAATCATTTAAATCGCTTCTAGGCCTTATCACGAGGGTCATTTCAGCCAAGACCCATGAGAATGTGACACACATCAGAAGTATTCAAAAAGAGCAACAAAGTGGGGCTCCACTATGGTTCATTACTATAGTGTGCCTCTCCCTGGAATGCCCAATATAATTCTGGTTGCCATATCTTAAATTCAAAATGAGAATAGCCCCCCAAGGGGTATAAAGACCATTCTGGGCCCTGGGCATACACAAAAGTCAAAAAGGCAAAATCTATTCTCTTAGAGCATACGTTAATGTAGTATAAGACAGACAATAGATAAGTAAAATATACTGAACAGCACATTGTGCTGAGTGCTTTGGAAGAAAAATAAAAGCCTGGAAGGGAGTTAGTGTGTGCTGGTGGCGGTGGTGGGCAATGGCATCGGATGGTTTGTAGTTTGGAATATTTAGTGGGGGAAAGTAGGGGCTGTATATGTTTGGGAAACAGCAAAATGGCTTGAATTGTTGAGGTGGAGTGACTTAGGTTAGGAGAGAAGGTGGATGTGAGTGGGGACCTACTAATATATTTCAAGGAATTGGACTCTTAGTCTAATTTGTAAGAAAGCCATGGGAAGATTTTGTTGAGAAGACTGACATTTTCCTTCCTCCCCCTCCCCCCTTTTTTTTTAAGAGAGATTTTTGCTATAGGGTGAGTGCACTTGCTAAGAAACAGTGTGAGAGAGAGAAAGTGAGAAATCACCCCTTGGGGAAACAGTGTGAGAGAAAGCGAGAAATCACCCCTTGGGAGGATGGCTACCAGCAACTTCTCTATTCTTCTCTTGGGATTTTGGGCACGCATGCACAGATGGCTGGCGTGATTTAATTTTCTTTTCTTTTTTATTTGTAAAACCAGGCCACTTTAATGTTTTTGTATAATTTAATGAATAATCTTTTGATAATTGCAGACATGTAAGACCGTCTATATTCAGAAACATCACTGTCATGGTGGTTTTCCAGATTAGTGTATCATCTTCAAAATTTATAAGGGGGTTACTTATATGAAACTTCTATCAAACCAGTAAGACAGCATTTATGCATCCATCATTTTCAGGATTGTTGGTATAACTTGGGCATATTTCCCACAAACAGCCTTCCCTCCTTGTGTCACAAGGCCCAACTTGATCACGTTCACCTCAATGACAACACCTTTGGCGATAATACCAAAGTTGTGTATAGTGGGAATGAGGGATTCTTCTTTATACCGAGTATTGGCAGGCGAAAGGTGGCTTTCAGTTCAGGATGGGTTACATGGGCCTTCTTGAAGTGTAAGCCCATTGGCCTGATCTTTCCTATTTAGGTGGTTTTCTAGTAAAGCCATCTCCAGCAAAGCAGACTTTGTAACCATCCTCTTCCATGCTGCCTTCTTTCTCTTTCCTGTTCGAGTAAATTTTAATACTTCTTTTTTTCCCTGGGCTCAAACTTTGGGTAGAGGGACTTCCCATTTTCCCACTTTCTCTTTCTGTTTTTGTTTAATCATACTGAAAAATACTTTGCCTTGGGCTGTCCTCTGTCCAACAGATAGGCAGGTACTGCTCCTTGTGGAATCTTTTCATCATTCTTTTGTTTGGTGTTCTTCTTTCCATGCACCTTGATAGTCTTTTTATTTGTGTTTTCTCAGCATGGCACTGTTTATGATGGAGCTTAACTGTCAGACCATTCATCTTTTTTGTCTTCTTTGAATGTTCATGAGCCTCCTCCTTAATCTTTTTCTCATGCTAATCCAAATGGTATCTATAGTGTTTCTGATGTAATTCAATATATTTGTTTTGTGGTATGGTGATGGCTGCAGAGTTGCCAGGAACAGCCTCCAGATGCAAAGAAGTTGTCAACTCACCAGTGTGATTTTCAAGCCACTGGGTCCAGGACTCGAACTGTGGTCTGCCACGTAGGAGTCCAGCGCCTTAACCCTGTGGTACCTGCTGGCCCCTCCCTCTTCATTTTAAAAAATATCACTTGAAGCTGCTATGTTGAGAATAAAAATGTAGAAGGAGCAGTTACAATGATTGAGCAGTGAATGGACTTTCTTGTGATACTGGAATAAAATTATAAATGCCTTTTCATTGAAAAAATAGCAATAGGGCTATGATCCTCACTCAGAATCTTGAAGAGATCTGACTAGTTTAAATATAGGGTTGATTGATAGTACTAAATTCTTGAACTAGTTTTTTTGTTCTTAAAGCCAGGGAAAGGTTCTTTTAGTACAGATAAAAGTACTGTTTTAAACAGAGCAGGTGATAAACTTGAACACTATGTGAACCTGTATGCTCACATAGTGTTCAGTTGACAATTTGAAGTACTTCAAACAAAATGTAGATAAATGATCACTAGGGATAGATACATAATAGCTGGACAAAGTAAGGAATGTTGGTGGGTACCCCAGTTAACTTTGTAGTTACTATACTATTCTGCAAAATCAGTCTCTCTCCCCCTCTCTCTCTCTTCCTCCCTCCCCTTAACTCCCTCACTTTCCCTCTCCCCCTATCTGTTTTCCCCCCATAGAGAGTGGGTGTATGTGTTTATGTGTGAGAGAGAACATTGTGGGCAGGGTCTTGTCATGCTTTAATACCCTTTTCCCACCCTTCCAGCTCCTCGGGATATTAGATATCCCTGCACATGCCTGGCATGTTCTTAGGCAACCCGAGAACCTGATCCTGCAGTTGGCATGTAGCTTCCAGCGTTGCAGTTCAGTCTGTTAGGGATTGCACCATCTAGGTTGAGCCACTGCAAAGTCTTTTTATGAGCAGACACAAATAAATGATTAGGTAGATCGATAGTCTGATTCTCAATATCATATCTTGTTTTAATCATCTTAATTATCACATTGAGAGTGAAAGTAAAAAAAATTCAGAATTTGTGATGCTTTCAGTTTGATATTTTTTTCTTCTTTTTTTTTTAGTTCAAAAGAAGTAGAGGACTTTCAGTCAACTGAGTCTTTTGGTAGCCAGCAGATGAATCTCAGTATCGGTGATGACAGTACTGGTAGCTGGTCCAATCTGAGTTTTGAAGATGAACACCAAGATGAAAGCAGCAGCTTTCACCATCTAAGTGAAAGGTAATTAAAATTTTGCATGTAATTGTGTGGTTTAGATCCTCAGGCTTCCAAAGAGCTGTGTATTATATTCAGTATTATTTTAAAACTCTAAATTTGAAAATTCAGCATAATTTTCAAAATGTATTATTAGTCAAAATGTATTTTCTAGTGTTTTGATACTCACTAAATACAGTAATTAGCCAAGCTGATTTTCTTTAGGTGTACCAACAGTTGATTTGAAAAATATTGTATAAAATCAATTTTATACTCTTGAAACTGTTCCTGAATGTTTTATATGAGGAAAATACTTTTAAAGAAGTTTGTTTTTTTCTTCTAGAAGATAGGAAAAAAGATAGTTATCTGTAAAAGACATCAAAATACTCTTAATGATCTAGATATTTGTTAAAATAGTATCTTTTGGAGGTTATTCCTTGTCCTGCTGTTAGGGAAAAAACTACCTGCAGTGTTTATATTTGAATGGTTGAAAATATATAAATCAAACCTATTATAAAATATTTTATATAGCAGAAGGCACTTACCTTATATATAACTTTTCTTGTTAACTTTGTTCATGACAGTAGTCTTCAGAATATTTTATCAATTATGGTAAGATGGTTTCTCATGGCCCAACTTCAGTAGCATGCTGGTAGATGATGCTGCATGGCTGGCTGAGGACATGTGGGAGGCCCAGGTTTGGTTCCCAGACCAAAAGCTGTGTGCAGTGGGATGCAGCTGTAGTCCCAGTTACTCCGGAGGCTGAGGCAAGAGGACTATGAGCTCAGAGCTAGCATGTCAAGTGGTGAGACCCTTCCTGAAATAGCCAATGCAGTAGCATACCCTGTGGTCCCAGCTATCAGTCTGAGGCTGACACAATCTAAAATATTTAAAACACACACAATCACACACACACACAGAACAAGACATGTACATACCACCAAAAATAATTATGTTTTTAACTTTACCTAAAGGCATTC